TCATTTTTGCCTGTTGGCCAAAAAATTATGCAGTGTGGAGAGGTTCTTTGTGCTTTGACTGTGTGAAGAGATCAACGCAAAGATTCAGTGAACGGTAAATATGACTGAGGGGGGAGAGGTTGGCAATCTCAGACCCGGGTGCTCACTTGGGGATTTTTCTCCAGCGAAAACAAATCCACAACAGTTCATGAAAACTGATGTCGGGTAGGTAAGGCGTACCCGAATCTGTATTGAATATAACTGAATACAACCCCTGATTACGCCACGTTGCGTTCGGCTAAATTTTACTCTTACATCATTGCTGAAAATAGCAGATCAAATAGTTGAAGGCTTCTTCAAACCATTTTTGAGACATAGTATGAGAAATTACGAACGTAGCCGGTTAAAATACATTTTCTCTGCCTTTTAACAATGTCAACTACGGCTGCCTGTGGTGTGACCTAACTAAATGACTCGCAAAGTAGACTGACATTTAAATTTAAGAAAATAGTTCAGGCAGCCACAAAACAGTATTTTAAAAGGGGCATCTATGCAAAAATCAACTTCACCTGAATCCAAAAGAACAGATTACTAAGCAATTAATTACTTTGGGTGTAAAGTTCAGCGCAAATTCGGGTCAGTGGTTTGATTCCTACACGCAACAAAGGTCCTCTGACTGGATGAATTCCATATTCCCGTAGTTCGTCGTAAAGACCGCTTAAACTATTACAATTTTACGTTTTAGACCCAAGATTGAACGTATACAGCAGTTGGACTGTGCAAAGATAAGATGAAATAGAAAGAACTGGCATCATTCAACCGAAGAAAAGGTCTAATAAATTTTAAGCCAAATAAAAAATGATAACCGAGTAGAAAATGCGTACGTTTACATCCTCCTTTGCTGTATAGAGCTGGGCCGCAAGCGCAATGAACTGTTCATCCAGTTTTCGTAAAACTTCAGCAAGTTCTAAAAGAGGGTATCAATAAGGGTTAAATGGGGTACCCTTTGGCGTGAGGGACGCTCGTGCCCTTGAAGACAAAAGTTCCTCAATTGCCTGAACTTCCTGCTTGTATCTCTGTACACGATCTCCAAAAGACGTAATACACTTATTAAAGTACTGAGTCAAAGCGGGGCTGTTTTGAACGGAATCATAAGCAAGATCGGACGTCTTCTGAACCATGGCGAAAGTCCTCTCTAACTGAACAGAAACATAAAATATGGAGCGCTGAGTGCTCACCTTTAGAGCTTCCTCGTTTAGGTGGGCTGTTTGCACGCTCTGCTTGCGAGAACCGGATGAAACTGAAAGAACTGCGCTTTGCAGTTCAGCTAACTCGGACTTGAGAGTATCAAGAGTTTTAATTGGAGCGTTGTTAAATTCATCTCGAATTTTCTTCTGTTCAGCCATGTGTTTTCTTGAAGATTAAGGTAACAGAACGACTTACTTTATTTCCTCTACAACTGCAAGGATTTCCGGGGAAACTTGCATGTCTCTGTGTCCTTTGGCCTCTCTGGAAATATACTACAATCACAAATAACACTTACAATGAGGAAGGAACGGTTTGAAGGAACGACATTTGTCCTATGCTTTGAACAAGGCGAATACCTGCAAGAAAGTACAGGCGTCACGGGAAGTTCGGCAGATTTATAAAACCAGA